CAGTGTCTCCTTTTGAAATAAAATTATTTTAATATAATTTTTAATTTTAATATCTCAAATTATGCTACTTTAAAGTCAACATTGACCATAAACTACATCTCCCATAATGCATGTCTATTACGCATGGGAATACATTGGTTTAAAGTGGGAGAGTTCAGAATTCAAGACGGCATCTGCTCACCACAACTAAACTAACCAAAACTCTCTTACTTCTACTTTAATATTATTTCTGTATTATTTATTTCACATTTAGTCATCGTACATGTAGTACTTTTCAGAGTTTATAAGAGGACATGTTAAAACACTGTTTCTAAGCAGGAAATACCACATAGAGCCCAGGAAATAATAGTTAGCGGTGCTTAGCTGTAGCAATAAAATGAGGAGCATGACGCTTTGTGTTTAGTTGAAATTAAACATGAAATCTCAGTTATAAGTGTTCTTTTTGAGGTAATAATAAGTGAAATATTTAGGCTTAACCGTGAAGTTTGGACATCAGTGTTGTTGTTGTTGTTTTTTTTTTGTACTTTTTAAAATATATTTTCATCTCGAAGTATCTGAACAACCAGCAGTGGCAGTGTCAGATGATGAATTTACACAATCAGACAAGAGAAACAAATACTCAAGTGTGAACGTATCTTTCGTGGATGTTGTGGAGACAGGTTTTCTAAAATGTAATAGTTGGTCTCAGTAGTTCAAGTGTCTGCATGTTTGTTGTGAAGAAACCGGTCACTGAGAAAATCACTGGAAATGATGCAACAATTCCTGCTAGCTGGGKACTCACAAATACTTCAGTTGTGTCAGGTCCTCTGGACAGGTTCTTTTGGGCTGAAACATTTCATCCAAAATACTTTTTCAGATTGAATAAATAAGTCTTTTGGACGATGAACTGTTTCAAAATCGTCTTTAAGTCCAGTTCGGTGAAAGTCATGGCTGACCTGCTTTCTGCTAAGACAAAACCTGGCAGTGAGTTAAGATTATCTTCAGTTTATGTCAATAATACAGTTCTGTAGATGGTCAGTTTTAAACAAGATGTTAAACACAGAGCTGTGCACTGCAAATATACTTGATGCTTGTCTTTACAAGTGTTAAAGAGAAATGTCTCTCCGACTTCTCTGTAAAACAGAAAATAGCACCACGTTAAAGCTGCAAACCTTTTCTGATTTTCAGAGGCTGAATCCTGCCCAAACTGGAGTTGGTATTTTGTACCATCATCACATTTAACCAATAAAATATCTCCACGCCTATTGAGTAAATTACCATGAAATTAGTTATAGAATTTCTCTGAACTTAAACCCCCAATGGGACCTCAAAAATTAAGTAATAATATTACAGATACAAAATTTAAGTGATCTTTTTAAGTAACAATTAAACTCATGTAACATTGCCACAAATRCAGTTTTAGTACCATTCTAGTGCAACTAACAGTGCCTTAGATTTGACATCCACAGAACTAATTTGCAGCAGCAAGCTGTAGTAAAATTGGTGACCGATAAGAAAAAAAAGCTGCATGAATTGTTTGTAGCATTATATATTTAATCATATTTGTTTGTCAACAACATTTCTTTTTTGAACTCAATTATATTTGTAGAAGATAAAAGTCTTGAAGTATTTCAAAGAACACATTCAGTGAATAAACCACCATGATTGTAATCAGAATTAGTTCCACCTCCATCTTCTGCCAGACCCCTCTCCTCAGCGATACTTTAAAGTTCGTCCTGAGGGACCTTGAGGAGTTCCCAGGCCAGAGAGAATGCATAATCCCTCCATTGAGTCCTGGGTCTTCCCCGTGGTCTCTTACCAGTGGGACATGCCCAGAACATCCTAATCAGACAAACCACCTCAACTGACTCCTTTCAATGTGGAGGAGCAGCGACTCTGCTCTGAGCTCCCCTCTGGATGACAAAGTTCCTCACCCTATCTCTCAGGCTGAGCCCGGCCACCGTACGAAGGAAGCTCATTGTGGCTGTTTGWATCCATCTCATTCTTTCAGTCATGATCCACCACTGGTGACGGTTGGACCGTAGACAGACCAGTAAATCCAAAGCTTTGCCTTTCGACTCCTGTCTTTATTCACTACAACTGACCAAAGCAACACCCTAATTACTGAGGATGAGACCCCAATCTGTTGATCCATCCCACCTTCACTTGTGAACAAGACCCCAAGATACTCAAACTCCTTCACTTGAGGGAGAGATCTCTTGTGCAGGAAGTCTTTTAAAAACKAGTTCATTTTTTCAGTGCAAATGGTTGTTCTATGGTTGTGTCTCAATTCAGGGGTTGCAGCCCACGAAGACTACAGCCCATGGAGGCCACACCCTTTGAAGTCCATGTAGGCTGGATCTAATGACTGTGAAATGAAACCGTCTTGTCTTTGGGTGACATGTTTGTGTGACCACACACTACCCCTCTACCATAGTGGTACATTTTATATCACATCCCCCATAAATGCGTAAAACTTAAACTGCATTGGAACATGCTTTCTGGGTATCTGGGAAAGGTAGCAGAAAACATAGGAATGACCCCAAGCAATGTTGGAATAATGACACTTCAGGGCATCTGACAGCTGTTGACTTTGTTTGAATTCCCTCATCTCTGGCATGAAAGTACTTTAACATAATGCTGTCGGTTTTTGTTGACACGTGCTTATGATGTTTGTCCTTTCACTAATGACTCTTTAACTTCTTGAGTTTCTTTTGAAATCTTTTTGTTTCTTTTATTATCWGTAGCTTCTTAAATCTATCTCAGCCTCTTCCAAGACCTGTCCTTATTAAGCTCCACTGTGGCTTCAGCTGAACTCTGACAAACCAGATACTTCTGGTTGACATAAAACACRCTGCAGTGGATACTTCAGTGTAAGAATGTTACCGCAAACAACAGATTCAGAACTCTAGTTCAGTGTGTAAATATTGGACACTTGGAGGTTTTACCTAATACTTTGGAAGTGCTTTGCCCTGTGATGGACTTGTCCAGGATGTACCTTGCCCTTTGTGCAGTGAAGCTGGATATGGGCACCAGTGACCCTGAAAAGAAGAAGTGGGTAAAGATAATGAATAAATTGATGCATTGGAAATTAATAGAGCTTAAACACAAGAGGTGTACACTCATTTGGTGTGCCTCAGATTTCTTTACTTTGGATGRACTGAGAAAAATAGGTTTGGCTCRGTTCTGGCCCACACACTCAGCTCATWCACTGCAAAGAAAGGCAGTCCTTTGGTGGCTCACACATGGGCCAGCACGAGGCCTGCTGCAGACATACAGGTGACCCTGAGCTGGCCCAGAACAGTTTCAGTACTGACACCAGACATTAAGCTAATGCAGCTATACTTTATTCAAGCCATATAAGGACTCATTCAATCCCATATCAGTATGTACGTCAACAACCACAATAGTACAATTTTATGAATGTTTGTTTTTAACAGAACAACTTATTCTAAATAACAATATACCATCCATCCATTTTACTAACCTGCTTTTTTCTTTTGGAAAGCTAGTGCCMATCTCCAATGGYCTCTGTGAGAGACAGGATCCATCCTGAAGAGTTTACAAGGCCGTCTCAGGGACACATAGAGACAACCATTCACCCTCAGGAAGAAAACCTCCAACAGAACCAGAACCAGGCTCGGGACAGGCGGCCATCTGCCTCGACTGGCTGGGGTTTGAGAGGACAGAAAAAAATGGTATAGAAAACCAACCGTTCACACTTTCACTTCAGGACGGYTAGAGTCATCACTTCATTTTACCTGCAGGTCTGTGGGAGGAAACCTGAGTACCTGGAGAAAACCCACACATGCATGAGAACATGCAAACTCCACACAGGAAGAACTCAGGTGGGTTCAGGTTATTCTTGCCATGAGACGACTGCTCTAACCACTGCTTCACAATGCCACCTTGAAAACATTCTGTTGAAATAAATAACTCTAAACATTAGTTTACTGTTTAATTCTGAGAGAACCTGGAGGGTTAGGGTTTTTACTCTGAAGAACTAAAGTGAATTAGAAGAGGGATGGTGGTGAGTGAGACTCCGACTCCAAGACTCAGAGTCGGCTCTTGGCATAGGCGAACTAGGCGGTCGCCTAGAGCCCCATCTGCTGGAGGGGGCGCCAAACTGCAGAAGAAAAATAAAAGTAATTATTTGTAATCCCTGGTTGTAACTCTGCTCAGCGCCCCTTTCAATTAG